TCCTGTTATACCAAACTGGGGAACAAATCCTGGCATCCTGGATATGTCTAAGATTTCAAACTGGGGAACAAATCAGTCTGTTATACCAGCATCCTGGATATGTCTAGGATTTCAAACTGGGGAACAAATCAGTCTGTTATACCAGCATCCTGGATATGTCTAGGATTTCAAACTGTCTTATACCAGATTTCAAAAACTGGGGAACAAATCAGTCTGTTATACCAGCATCCTGGGATATGTCTAGGATTTCAAACTGGGGAACAAATCAGTCTGTTATACCAGCATCCTGGATATGTCTAGATTTCAAACTGGGGAACAAATCAGTCTGTTATACCAGCATCCTGGATATGTCTAGGATTTCAAACTGGGAAACAAATCAGTCTGTTATACCAGCATCCTGGATATGTCTAAGATTTCAAACTGGGGAACAAATCAGTCTGTTATACCACCAGCATCCTGGATATGTCTAGGATTTCAAACTGGGGAACAAATCAGTCTGTTATACCAGCATCCTGGATATGTCTAAGATTTCAAACTGGGAAACAAATCAGTCTGTTAGTCTGTTATACCAGCATCCTGGATATGTCTAAGATTTCAAACTGGGGAACAAATCAGTCTGTTATACCAGCATCCTGGGATATGTCTAAGATTTCAAACTGGGGAACAAATCAGTCTGTTATACCAGCATCCTGGATATGTCTAGGATTTCAAACTGGGGAACAAATCAGTCTGTTATACCAGCATCCTGGATATGTCTAAGATTTCAAACTGGGGAACAAATCAGTCTGTTATACCAGCATCCTGGATATGTCTAGGATTTCAAACTGGGGAACAAATTTCAAACTGGGAACAAATCAGTCTGTTATACCAGCATCCTGGATATGTCTAAGATTTCAAACTGGGGAACAAATCAGTCTGTTATACCAGCATCCTGGATATGTCTAGGATTTCAAACTGGGGAACAAATCAGTCTGTTATACCAGCATCCTGGATATGTCTAGGATTTCAAACTGGGGAACAAATCAGTCTGTTATACCAGCATCCTGGGATATGTCTAGGATTTCAAACTGGGGAACAAATCAGTCTGTTATACCAGCATCCTGGGATATGTCTAGGATTTCAAACTGGGGAACAAATCAGTCTGTTATACCAGCATCCTGGATATGTCTAGGATTTCAAACTGGGGAACAAATCAGTCTGTTATACCAGCATCCTGGTCTAGGATATGTCTATACCAGGATTTCAAACTGGGGAACAAATCAGTCTGTTATACCAGCATCCTGGGATATGTCTAGGATTTCAAACTGGGGAACAAATCAGTCTGTTATACCAGCATCCTGGTTATGTCTAAGATTTCAAACTGGGGAACAAATCAGTCTGTTATACCAGCATCCTGGATATGTCTAAGATTTCAAACTGAGAAACAAATCAGTCTGTTATGTATTTTATACCAGCATCCTGGATATGTCTAAGATTTCAAACTGGGGAACAAATCAGTCTGTTATACCAGCATCCTGGATATGTCTAAGATTTCAAACTGAGAAACAAATCAGTCGGTCTGTATATACCAGCATCCTGGATATGTCTAAGATTTCAAACTGGGAACAAATCAGTCTGTTAAACCAGCATCCTGGGATATGTCTGGGATTTCAAACTGGGGAACAAATCAGTCTGTTATACCAGCATCCTGGATATGTCTAGGATTTCAAACTGGGGAACAAATCAGTCTGTTATACCAGCATCCTGGGATATGTCTAGGATTTCAAACTGGGGAACAAATCAGTCTGTTATACCAGCATCCTGGATATGTCTAGGATTTCAAACTGGGGAACAAATCAGTCTGTTATACCAGCATCCTGGGATATGTCTAGGATTTCAAACTGGGGAACAAATCAGTCTGTTATACCAGCATCCTGGATATGTCTAGGATTTCAAACTGGGGAACAAATCAGTCTGTTATACCAGCATCCTGGATATGTCTAAGATTTCAAACTGGGGAACAAATCAGTCTGTTATACCAGCATCCTGGATATGTCTAGGATTTCAAACTGGGGAACAAATCAGTCTGTTATACCAGCATCCTGGATATGTCTAAGATTTCAAACTGGGGAACAAATCAGTCTGTTATACCAGCATCCTGGATATGTCTAGATTTCAAACTGGGGAACAAATCAGTCTGTTATACCAGCATCCTGGGATATGTCTAGGATTTCAAACTGGGGAACAAATCAGTCTGTTATACCAGCATCCTGGATATGTCTAAGATTTCAAACTGGGGAACAAATCAGTCTGTTATACCAGCATCCTGGATATGTCTAAGGATTTCAAACTGGGGAACAAATCAGTCTGTTATTATACCAAACTGCATCATCCTGGATATGTCTAAGATTTCAAACTGGGGAACAAATCAGTCTGTTATACCAGCATCCTGGATATGTCTAGGATTTCAAACTGGGGAACAAATCAGTCTGTTATACCAGCATCCTGGTTATGTCTAAGATTTCAAACTGGGGAACAAATCAGTCTGTTATACCAGCATCCTGGATATGTCTAAGATTTCAAACTGGGAAACAAATCAGTCTGTTATACCAGCATCCTGGATATGTCTAAGATTTCAAACTGGGAACAAATCAGTCTGTTATACCAGCATCCTGGATATGTCTAAGATTTCAAACTGGGGAACAAATCAGTCTGTTATACCAGCATCCTGGATATGTCTAAGATTTCAAACTGGGGAACAAATCAGTCTGTTAAACCAGCATCCTGGGATATGTCTGGGATTTCAAACTGGGGAACAAATCAGTCTGTTATACCAGCATCCTGGATATGTCTAGGATTTCAAACTGGGGAACAAATCAGTCTGTTATACCAGCATCCTGGTTATGTCTAAGATTTCAAACTGGGGAACAAATCAGTCTGTTATACCAGCATCCTGGGATATGTCTGGGATTTCAAACTGGGGAACAAATCAGTCTGTTATACCAGCATCCTGGATATGTCTAAGATTTCAAACTGGGGAACAAATCAGTCTGTTATACCAGCATCCTGGATATGTCTAAGATTTCAAACTGGGGAACAAATCAGTCTGTTATACCAGCATCCTGGATATGTCTAAGATTTCAAACTGGGGAACAAATCAGTCTGTTATACCAGCATCCTGGGATATGTCTAGGATTTCAAACTGGGGAACAAATCAGTCTGTTATACCAGCATCCTGGGATATGTCTAGGATTTCAAACTGGGGAACAAATCAGTCTGTTATACCAGCATCCTGGATATGTCTAAGATTTCAAACTGGGGAACAAATCAGTCTGTTATACCAGCATCCTGGATATGTCTAGGATTTCAAACTGGGGAACAAATCAGTCTGTTATACCAGCATCCTGGGATATGTCTAGGATTTCAAACTGGGGAACAAATCAGTCTGTTATACCAGCATCCTGGATATGTCTAAGATTTCAAACTGGGGAACAAATCAGTCTAAGATGTTATACCAGCATCCTGGATATGTCTAAGATTTCAAACTGAGAAACAAATCAGTCTGTTATGTATTTTTATACCAGCATCCTGGATATGTCTAAGATTTCAAACTGGGGAACAAATCAGTCTGTTATACCAGCATCCTGGATATGTCTAAGATTTCAAACTGAGAAACAAATCAGTCTTATGTATATTTTTATACCAGCATCCTGGATATGTCTAAGATTTCAAACTGGGGAACAAATCAGTCTGTTAAACCAGCATCCTGGGATATGTCTGGGATTTCAAACTGGGGAACAAATCAGTCTGTTATACCAGCATCCTGGATATGTCTAGGATTTCAAACTGGGGAACAAATCAGTCTGTTATACCAGCATCCTGGTTATGTCTAAGATTTCAAACTGGGGAACAAATCAGTCTGTTATACCAGCATCCTGGTTATGTCTGAGATTTCAAACTGGGGAACAAATCAGTCTGTTATACCAGCATCCTGGATATGTCTAAGATTTCAAACTGGGGAACAAATCAGTCTGTTATACCAGCATCCTGGATATGTCTAGGATTTCAAACTGGGGAACAAATCAGTCTGTTATACCAGCATCCTGGGATATGTCTAGGATTTCAAACTGGGGAACAAATCAGTCTGTTATACCAGCATCCTGGGATATGTCTAGTCTAGATTTCAAACTGGGGAACAAATCAGTCTGTTATACCAGCATCCTGGGATATGTCTGTTCAAGATTTCAAACTGGGGAACAAATCAGTCTGTTATACCAGCATCCTGGATATGTCTAGGATTTCAAACTGGGGAACAAATCAGTCTGTTATACCAGCATCCTGGGATATGTCTAGGATTTCAAACTGGGGAACAAATCAGTCTGTTATACCAGCATCCTGGGATATGTCTAGGATTTCAAACTGGGGAACAAATCAGTCTGTTATACCAGCATCCTGGTTATGTCTAAGATTTCAAACTGGGGAACAAATCAGTCTGTTATACCAGCATCCTGGATATGTCTAAGATTTCAAACTGAGAAACAAATCAGTCTGTTATGTATTTTTATACCAGCATCCTGGATATGTCTAAGATTTCAAACTGGGGAACAAATCAGTCTGTTATACCAGCATCCTGGATATGTCTAAGATTTCAAACTGAGAAACAAATCAGTCGGTTATGTATTTTTATACCAGCATCCTGGATATGTCTAAGATTTCAAACTGGGGAACAAATCAGTCTGTTAAACCAGCATCCTGGGATATGTCTGGGATTTCAAACTGGGGAACAAATCAGTCTGTTATACCAGCATCCTGGATATGTCTAGGATTTCAAACTGGGGAACAAATCAGTCTGTTATACCAGCATCCTGGTTATGTCTAAGATTTCAAACTGGGGAACAAATCAGTCTGTTATACCAGCATCCTGGGATATGTCTGGGATTTCAAACTGGGGAACAAATCAGTCTGTTATACCAGCATCCTGGATATGTCTAGGATTTCAAACTGGGGAACAAATCAGTCTGTTATACCAGCATCCTGGTTATGTCTGAGATTTCAAACTGGGGAACAAATCAGTCTGTTATACCAGCATCCTGGATATGTCTAAGATTTCAAACTGGGGAACAAATCAGTCTGTTATACCTGCATCCTGGATATGTCTAGGATTTCAAACTGGGGAACAAATCAGTCTGTTATACCAGCATCCTGGGATATGTCTAGGATTTCAAACTGGGGAACAAATCAGTCTGTTATACCAGCATCCTGGATATGTCTAAGATTTCAAACTGGGGAACAAATCAGTCTGTTATACCTGCATCCTGGATATGTCTAGGATTTCAAACTGGGGAACAAATCAGTCTGTTATACCAGCATCCTGGGATATGTCTAGGATTTCAAACTGGGGAACAAATCAGTCTGTTATACCAGCATCCTGGGATATGTCTAGGATTTCAAACTGGGGAACAAATCAGTCTGTTATACCAGCATCCTGGGATATGTCTAGGATTTCAAACTGGGGAACAAATCAGTCTGTTATACCAGCATCCTGGATATGTCTAGGATTTCAAACTGGGGAACAAATCAGTCTGTTATACCAGCATCCTGGGATATGTCTAGGATTTCAAACTGGGGACCAAATCAGTCTGTTATACCAGCATCCTGGGATATGTCTAGGATTTCAAACTGGGGAACAAATCAGTCTGTTATACCAGCATCCTGGTTATGTCTAAGATTTCAAACTGGGGAACAAATCAGTCTGTTATACCAGCATCCTGGATATGTCTAAGATTTCAAACTGAGAAACAAATCAGTCTGTTATGTATTTTTATACCAGCATCCTGGATATGTCTAAGATTTCAAACTGGGGAACAAATCAGTCTGTTATACCAGCATCCTGGATATGTCTAAGATTTCAAACTGAGAAACAAATCAGTCGGTTATGTATTTTTATACCAGCATCCTGGATATGTCTAAGATTTCAAACTGGGGAACAAATCAGTCTGTTAAACCAGCATCCTGGGATATGTCTGGGATTTCAAACTGGGGAACAAATCAGTCTGTTATACCAGCATCCTGGATATGTCTAGGATTTCAAACTGGGGAACAAATCAGTCTGTTATACCAGCATCCTGGTTATGTCTAAGATTTCAAACTGGGGAACAAATCAGTCTGTTATACCAGCATCCTGGATATGTCTAGGATTTCAAACTGGGGAACAAATCAGTCTGTTATACCAGCATCCTGGTTATGTCTAAGATTTCAAACTGGGGAACAAATCAGTCTGTTATACCAGCATCCTGGATATGTCTAGGATTTCAAACTGGGGAACAAATCAGTCTGTTATACCAGCATCCTGGGATATGTCTAGGATTTCAAACTGGGGAACAAATCAGTCTGTTAAACCAGCATCCTGGGATATATCTAGTTGAGAACATAAAGATTATCTGCAATACATCATGTACTCACTTTTTGCATAGCATCATCACTGTACATACTGTTGACCTGATCTTCAAGTCGAGAAATGTTCTCCTGTAACTCTGTAACAAATTTGAAATCATTTGAAATGATACACATGTCACACTGGCCTTTAATCTCAACACAGAATATGAGAGTTTGACGATTAACCTAGAGACTTGTGTGACAAACTATGTTTGTTGTGTATCTTGACAAAGAGAAGATGAAGTTTTCATTGTTTGGTTTTCTGTCATGAAATAGCTTGAGTATTGCTGCCTGACATCACTCACTTTTTCCTAATTGGACAGAAGACAAAAACTTACCCCTGACGTCAGTCTCCACCTCAGTTCGCCAACGTCTGAGACAGTCTTGTAGCACCTGGAGTTCACTCTCTGACACATGGCGGGGGGAGGGGCTGGGTACGTCCGGCGGGGGCTTAGGGGGCCTGCCGGGGGAGCGAGGCAGTGGGGATGACATGGTCACATCCACTGACGGGACTGGGAGAGAGTTGGGAGATTCTGTTCTGCAACTGAAACATAAGATGGAAATGTAGCATTAGTTTTGTTTTTCAATAACTGCTTCCAAGTATATGCTAACTACACGACGACGAACTGTTAATTGTCAAACCTGGATTAGACAAACCAGTGACTGATATTATGAGCAACATTCCTCATTATCTGGGCGTACAATCAAAGTACTGGAGTGAGTGAATATGGTTTAAGGCCGCCTTTAGCAACCTTTGAGCAACATCAAGGTGTGGAACCCCAGAAATGGGCTTCACACATTGTACCCATGTGAGGAATTGAACCCGGGCCTTCGGCGCGATGAGCAAAAGCTTTAACCACTGGGCTACTGCCCCTCAAAGTACTGGACAAACATTACTGATAAACTGATGTCATGAATCAACTTTGTAAAATGAAGAGGTTTTTCTTACTTTGTGATCGAGTTCGGTTTTGGAGATTCCATCTCAACATCGTGCGACTGTGGACTGGAAGAACTGGGTTTACTCTCTGCGAACTGCAGCACGGATGACAACACGTCTTGTAGAGGGAAACGCTTGCTTCCAGACCCGTAACAGATGAACCTGGAACAGGCACAGGAATACCGGGATAGGATTGCAGGGAAAAATGATCTCATCTATCTCATCAACCTACTTTACCATGCATCTAGCTGACTTAATGATCCATCTCGCTGATTTACTGATTCCTCTCATTGACTTACTGATCCCTCTCATTGACGTACTGAATCATCTCGCTGACATACTGATCCCTCTCAATCACTTACTGAACCATCTCGCTGACTTACTGAACCATCTCGCTGACTTACTGATCCCTCTGATTGACGTACTGAATCATCTCGCTGACTTACTGATCCCTCTCAATCACTTACTGATCCCCCTCTTTGACTTACTGAACCATCTCGCTGATTTACTGATCGAAGTCATTGACTTACTGATCCATCTCGCTGACTTACTGATCCATCTCGCTGACTTACTGAACCATCTTGCTGACTTACTGATCCATCTTGCTGACTTACTGAACCATCTCGCTGACTTACTGATCCATCTCGCTGACTTACTGATCCATCTTGCTGACTTACAGATCCATTTCATTGCCTTATACATCAACTTATCCAACTAGTTACTAACCACGTGACTGACTTACTTATCCAGTTTCGCATGCAGCACAGTAAGTTCCTCCTTCAGCTTCCTCGCCTCCTCTCTCCTCTGCCGTGTCAGTGCCTTGTTTCTCTCCATGTACCTGGACAACACAGGTGAATCTCAGGCTCAAACTGGGCACAATCAAACCACGGTCCAACAGCACAGATATCATATTCACTGTATCATGGTGAGGCCCTGCACCAATGGGACACAATTCACAGAAGAGAAAACATTTCCAAGGTTTCTTCAGCACATTACCTTCAGGGACAAAAGATGAATGAAGATCAGGGCTCCAGATAAGGGTCGTATCGGCGTATGTGCGGATATAAAATGTGCACGATACGGTAGGAAATAATTTAGAAAACGTAGCAGATACGCATTACAGCAATGGTGTACTGTCTTAGAATCATATTTATCTGAAAAAAGTATTGTTTTATAGTTTATTGACCTGTTTACACAAGAGTATCAATGTTGTGGTGCATATATGAAACGAAACACAAGATTAGTAATACTCCATCAAAATTCCATTAAGTACTCTAAATGTACTCTTAAGATTTTTCAGTACTCCTGCATTGAAACAGTAAGGAGCACGTACTCCTGATGTTGAAAATTTATCTGGAGCCCTGGAAGATGAATGTCTAGAACAATTTCATGAACCTGCAAACAGCAAATACAAGAGGTTAGCATCATGGGCATGGTGCTGACAGACCAAGTATCTTGATCAGGGAAGTGCCCAAGTTCAGCAGATCCTTGCATAACAAGGGACATAACTGCACAATATCAATTGCCACATTCAACACAATGTTAATGAATGAACAGTTCATTTAAGAATGGATGCCCCAAACATGTAAACAATTACTTACCGGTCCATGTAGATAACTTTAGGAAACTCTATCTTATTATGTATTTTTTCAGGTCGACCCATCTGCTGGTTGAACTGGAAACGTGAAAGCTCAAAGGTCAATACTGGAGGCAGGCGGGAAAACCATAGCTGAAACAGCGAAATGGGAATTGTGAGTCTTCTTGAGTTGACGGCATCTAAGAAACTGGCAAACAGGTGCACAACATGGGCTTTGGGGCATATTCGGACATCGCATCCCAAAAAGCAGTGTATAATATATATAGCCAGTCCCATCATCCTAGACAGTCTACTTTGGGGAAGGACAGTCTATTAAATAAGTAAGGCCGTCCTTTCGTAGGGGGAAAATTTGGAGAGAGGATAATAAATACTGTGATCAAAACAACATTTGTTGTATTTTTATTGTATTAGTTTTTGGGACTGGCTGTGTTTGTTCAGGACTGGTCACTTTTTTGGACAGCCAGTCCTTGAACAGGCCACATTTCAAAATTATATTATACACTTTAAAAAGAGAGCCTTGACACCTCTTCTGTCCCAGAGTACCAAATAGTATAAAAGCAAGAGCTCCTGGGCACATGTTCAAACCCAGAATCCTTAACAGAGGAAAGAAACAATGCCTAGTGATAATCTCCGTCACCGAATTTCATAAAGGGAAAGTAAGATGCGCCATATCTCTGGAAGGCAGGGATCAATTTAAGAGAGGCTAACCTACTTGCACTCGGTGCAACCTAAGATAAAAACCTAGTTGCACCAGCCAAATTCCAGTTGCAACGTAGTGTGTAAAAACGTCAGAGGATTCGGAGCACATAAACACATTTCCGTGATGTAGTACCTGTGAAACCATAGCAACACAGAGACACTGCTGATCCCTGTTTACAAGAGCTGTCATAGCCGAAGCGTGTAAATGAATAGCAATATTTCAGTGTTATAGCTATTCAAAGTTAAGAAGAAAAATGAGCTGACATATTTATGCTCATAATGTTAAATTTATTGTTGATTTATTTCTAAAAACTTGACGTGCACCTTGTGCAAGTTAAGACTCATAACTAGGTTGCACTTTGTAATATTGCGTTGCACCAGTGCAAGTAACAAAGCACTAAATCAAGCCCTGGGAAGGGTTCTGCTTACTAAAGCAGGATCTGACGTACCTCCTGGCCTGATTTCTGTGTGACGTCACTACTGACAGCCTCAATCTCACCCTGGGCAGTGGCACCCTCTAGACTCTCGTGGATATCTCGAAACCCGTTCACCTGCAAAGGAAACTGCCCAAACGTCTCCTCGTTGGTGAATCCCTTTCCTATAAAAGAGACATTGAACTCTAGACTTACTGGAGGTGTAATGATAGGGTTGGGTCATACTATGATAGCCAAGCTGTTACTGTTGGTGCTATACAGATTTCATTGGTAGATACTCTTTATTTCTGCAGTTAAACCACACATCAATTACAACTTTGCAAGAATTGATTGTGACTGGTTGCAGGATAGTATTTGAACAACACAAGACCACATGACATACCTTCGTGATATCCCTCTGCCTGGAACTGCCCGTAAAATAGATCCACAACAGGATTGTCATCCTTCTTATCCTCCTGCTGAGAACATCCTGCCTTCCTGAAAAAAAAATAATATATATATAAGTTGCCATGGTTAATGAGCGAGTGCTGTAATTGTTCCACTGACATGACACAGACTAGTTGGAATCCTGTGTATTACAAAGTGCATGAGGGATGGAAAGAGGGAGGGATAACAACTGCATTTTGCTATCAATCAGCACAGAGGGATGCACTGATGCATCGACAGAAACAACAACAGTCATCAGAAGATGACAAATCCCCCCGGTCCCCACAAATTTGAAAGAACAAATCACCTGACAGTTGCTCAAAGTCCAACTTGATATGTTACTAACTTTCAATCTGAGACTAAGTCCGAATCATTTCCAAGGAAATCACGAACAATGTAATTTTTCAAGTAAACTTGATATTTTTATACTTATCCTGTCTCATGATCTTTTGCTTATCTCCCTTTCCCTTGCGAATGTTGGAACACTTGAATCCCTTGTAGTTCCCAAAGCGGACGTAAAAATACACTTACCCACGAGTTACCTCCCTTTTCCTGCGTAAACAATCATGTGACCAGCCTTACTTGTCACTCTCTCCTGATTTTTCTGCCCAAGCACTTGGATCTGCTGTGAAATCCAAAGTGCTTCCAGCGGGGATGTCGGGTGGGCTTGACCATCATGATAAGTATAAAAATATCAATTTTACTTGAAAAGTTACATATTTTTTCTTATCCTGATTCATGATATTTTGCTTATAGAATCCTGGAGATTGGTGGTGGGTCAAGCCACTTCCTGGATTCATCAGCTATCCTTTAGATACGTCCTGTATCCCCCCCTTGGGAACTGCGTAGCGGCATTTCCGAGATCCTATTCTTCCAACTTCCGTTGGGGGACCACTCGGGGGGACCACTTCTTGTCTTACTTCCATCTCAGACAAGTTGAATCATCTTGATTCATGTGGCTTCAGATAAACTAGTATCTTCTTATTACTAGATATCTTATAACAACCCATAGATTATGATAAGATCTTTATCATAAATAAGTTGCGACCCCTTCATGTACAGGTAAGATCTTTACCCGTACAGGATTTTTAATCACTCATGCTAGTCTGTCCTAGAATGTGTGCATGGACTTTCAAACTAATACTTTTCCTTAGTAAAAGTAATAAGTCAACGTGATAAAGGGTGAGATTTTCCAACTCAGTGCCTTTGAGGAACTGTTAGCTGCTGTGCTACGAGAGGCCCAAATTGGTGAATGCCTGAGGCGTCTTCAGTGGCTTTGTCTCAGAGGTAGTGGTCGGCAAACACCGTATCCGACTTCCAAAAGCAGCCCTCCATAATTCCTGAGATAGAGAAATTTTCGTGCAGAGCCAATGTTGACGCCAGTGCTCTGACTTCGTGTGGGTTGGAAGCTCTAGGAGGTTCTAGTCCTGCTGCCTTATAGGCTCTCAAAATGACGACTCTCATCCGGAACGATATCGTCGTTCTTGAGACTTATACTGATGTCTCTGTGGATAATGGGATGAATGGCTTGAATTTTTATCTCCTTGTCTTAGTGTTTTGAAAATATATAGGATTGTAGATAGCGCTGGTACGTGGAACTGTCTATCTGTCTGACCAGGTAGTTGGTTCTTGGCAATGAAGTCCCATCTAAGTCCTAGATGAACTGCATCATGTTGCCCCCTGTCGAATCTGGTTCGACCAAAGTCCAGCGTATGTATCTCTTATATCCGAGCTGCCGTGGCTAGCACAAGCAGGAACAGAGTCTTCTGTGTCAGCACAATAAGTAAATCACAAGCTGGAAGAACATGGTTTGATGCACGAAGGGCATTGGGGGTGAGGATCAGCCACGGATAACTTGTGCCTGCAAACACTGCCAGATTTCATGAAATGTAAACAAGTTACATCACGATGAAATTATGACACAAATACAAATAATTTTTATAAAAGTTTTACATATAATACAATGTAAGTTATAGCCAAATCCATATACAGCGTAATTTTGAAGAATAGGACCTAAATAAAAAGGATATAATGCCGTATACGGGACTCCAGTGCTCGTCAAACCATCCACATGGGCGAATAGGGAGAGAGTGACAAGTAAGGCTGGTCACATGACTGTTTACACGGGAAAAGGGTGGTAACTCGTGGGTGAGTGTATTTTTACATCGGCTTCAGGAACTTCAAGGGATTCAAGTGTTCCACTACCATTCACAAGGGAAAGGGACATACGCAAAAGATCATGAGTCAGGATAAGAAAAAATAAATAAATACCCAAAATCTGCAAACAGCAAAAGGCACCACTTCATGAGCTGTTTGATATATCTACCAAGTCTTGTAGAAAGATACTGAAGGTTTTCAAATTGTGCCCCGGAAACGAAGCCCATCCCTCATTTTTGTGACTAAGTCCGAATCATTTCCATGGAAACCAGGAAAAATAAAAATGCCAAAAATCTGCAAAATAGCAAAAGGCACCTCTTTGGGATCTGCCTCAGATATCTAACAATTTTTATTGATAGAGCAGTTGAGCAATTGAGGAATTTTTTAGTATGTTCCGGAAACGAATTCAACCCCTTTTTGACACTAAGTCCAAATTGTTTCCATAGAAATCCAGAAAAATAAACATACAAAAAATCTGTAAATAGCAATATCCGCCCTCATTACATGCATTAAGGAAACCTTCCGAGCTGATTGTCTGCATTGAAGCTTCTCAAGTTTCAGAGGGAGTGGATACAAACAAGCAGATCTGATTTCTGTATCTCAAAAACAAACAGTTCCCAATGCAAAGGTCACACAACATATTGGGAAATGTCATTTTCATGAATGAAAGGGAAAAATTACTTTCTCCTAGTCCTAGTGGTGTGGTGCTCTGAAGTCAGTGAGTGAGTGACTGAGATACGTATTAACTGCACTCAGCAATATTCCAGCTATATGGCGTCCGTCTGTAAATAAATCGAGTCTGGACCAGACAATCCAGTGATCAGCAGCACGAGCAGCGATCTACGCAATTGCGATACAATGACATGTGTTAACTAAGTCAGCTAGCCTGACCACCCGATAGTCGCCTCTTACGACAAGCATGGGTTACTGAAGAACTATTCTGACCCGGATCTTCACGGGTCGGTGCTCTGGAGTAAGAGAGTGAGTAGCCTACACCAGTAGGTAGGTAGGTACTTATGCGGCTTTAAGATGGCGAGGTCCCAGCAATGTGCACACAATAACAAAACAAGACTCACGCTTCCCGTGAGGATGAAGGGTCAGTGTTATCCTTCTTGAAGGCTTCCTCAAGCCATTCTAGGAGTTTATGTTGAAACTCACTGACGTCCTGCAAAACAAATCAATACACTGGAGAATTCTTCATTAGATCAAACAATGCTAAAATGAGGACACACCTCATAATTTGCAGATACATCCATGACAAGTTTGGGGAATAATAATGTTTCTCTTGCTTCTTGTTATGCTCTCCTCCAACAGGAACATTCTGGTCCTGCAACTAGATCAATAACATCAGGAACAACGCCCTCCAACAGGAACAGACTGGTCCTGCAACTAGATCAATAACATCAGGAACAACGCCCTCCAACAGGAACAGACTGGTCCTGCAACTAGATCAATGACATCAGGAACAGCACCCTCCAACAGGAACAGACTGGTCCTGCATCTAGATCAATAACATCAGGAACAACGCCCTCCAACAGGAACAGACTAGTCCTGCAACTAGATCAATAACATCAGGAACAACGCCCTCCAACAGGAACAGATTGGTCCAGCAACTAGATCAATAACATCAGGAACAACGCCCTCCAACAGGAACAGACTGGTCCTGCAACTAGATCAATAACATCAGGAACAACGCCTCCAACAGGAACAGACTGGTCCTGCAACTAGATCAATAACATCAGGAACAGCGCCTCCAACAGGAACAGACTGGTCCAGCAACTAGATCAATAACATCAGGAACAACAGCCCTCCAACAGGAACAGACTGGTCCAGCAACTAGATCAATAACATCAGGAACAACGCCTCCAACAGGAACAGATTGGTCCTGCAACTAGATCAATAACATCAGGAACAACGCCCTCCAACAGGAACAGACTGGTCCTGCAACTAGATCAATAACATCAGGAACAACGCCTCCAACAGGAACAGACTGGTCCAGCAACTAGATCAATAACATCAGGAACAACCCTCCAACAGGAACAGACTGGTCCAGCAACTAGATCAATAACATCAGGAACAACACCCTCCAACAGGAACAGACTGGTCCAGCAACTAGATCAATAACATCAGGAACAACGCCCTCCAACAGGAACAGATTGGTCCTGCAACTAGATCAATAACATCAGGAACAACGCCCTCCAACAGGAACAGACTGGTCCTGCAACTAGATCAATAACATCAGGAACAACGCCCTCCAACAGGAACAGACTAGTCCTGCAACTAGATCAATAACATCAGGAACAACGCCCTCCAACAGGAACAGATTGGTCCAGCAACTAGATCAATAACATCAGGAACAACGCCCTCCAACAGGAACAGACTGGTCCTGCAACTAGATCAATAACATCAGGAACAACACCCTCCAACAGGAACAGACTGGTCCTGCAACTAGATCAATAACATCAGGAACAACGCCCTCCAACAGGAACAGACTGGTCCAGCAACTAGATCAATAACATCAGGAACAACGCCCTCCAACAGGAACAGACTGGTCCTGCAACTAGATCAATAACATCAGGAACAACGCCCTCCAACAGGAACAGATTGGTCCTGCAACTAGATCAATAACATCAGGAACAACGCCCTCCAACAGGAACAGGCTGGTCCAGCAACTAGATCAATAACATCAGGAACAACGCCCTCCAACAGGAACAGACTGGTCCAGCAACTAGACCAATAACATCAGGAACAACGCCCTCCAACAGGAACAGTCTGGTCCTGCAACTAGATCAATAACATCAGGAACAACGCTCTCCAACAGGAACACACTGGTCCTGCAACTAGATCAATAACATCAGGAACAACGCCCTCCAACACGAACAGTCTGGTCCTGCAACTAGATCAATAACATCAGGTCCTGCAACCGTAGCTGAGGAATAAAGTCTTCTTATAAGAACATATACACCTTGCAAACATATTAGTAAGATAAGGAATAGAATTCTTCCACATCAACATTTGGCCCTGGAATTATATATCAGTAACAACAGGAGTATAGCGTCTCCCTTTCCCTGGGGCAGGTTTCGCCTGTAATCATCTCTGTAAGAGATAAAGCACCCACCTGCTGACTATCACTAGCTCCTGTTGGGGAGGAAAAAGCCTCCTTCAGAATATCCACAGCTTTGGACGGATCCACATACTTTTTGTTTGAGCCGACCAGCAAGGCAAACAGGTGACGCAGCTCATTCATGAACCGATGATTTCTCCTCTCCTGGCGGGACACAAACATGACATTTGAAACAACCCACTGTGGGTTAGTATTCCTCAGCTGCAGAACAAGTTGTATGGAATGGAAGTGTAAAACCAACAGGAATTGTTTTAAAATGTTCTCTTTCATATACTACTGAAACAACGTTCAAGAACATCCACAATTGAAGTTTCCTGCAAAACCCACAAGCCATGACAAAGTACAGTCATATGTAAATATTTAGGTGAGTGAGTGAATGAGGATAGTTTTACGCCGCACTCAGCAATATTCCAGCTATATGGCAGCGGTCTGTAAATAATCGAGTCTGGACCAGACAATCCAGTGATCAACATCATGAGTATCGATCTTCACCATGGGGAACTGATGACATGTGTCAGGCCTAAAAAAAAAGAAGCTTGTGGTTCCGATTTCCTGACCGACCCCAAATATTCCCGCCGAGCCGAACAATTTTACTCACCACATAATAAAATAAATTTATTTTCTGACACATGAGTAATGTAACAATATTTTGAAAAAAAAAACACCAAAACCCTACCTATCTACCCTAGTTCTGAAATGTAGGAAATCGGAACCACAACATTATTTTTTTTGGCCTACAACCAACTCAGCGAGCCTGACCCTCCAATCCCGTTAGTCGCCTCTTACTACAAGCATGGGTTACTGAAGGCCAATATTCTAACCTGGACCTTCAAGAGTCACAAATATTTAGGGTTCATGACCTTTTTGAGTATGCTAAAGGAAATGTGAAACTGTTCACTTCATGAATATCTATATTTAGGAATACGAGTACCATATCAGGGCCTCATCATTCATTTCTCACAGAAAAAAACATTGTCACTGAGCAATCTACCTAAATCAGCCTTTGAAATTTATCATTTGTAACAATAAAAATACATATGAGATTCTGCCGGGGTGCTCCAACACTTCCGAGTTAAGATGGCAATGCTTACATGCTTACATATTACATTTGTTGATGTAGAAGGCCCTTCATTTGGAAGTTTGAAATTCAGCACAATGTGTCGAAATTTTCTTAGATGAAAGAGTGACTGAAACCAATGCAAACAAAACTTCAATCAAGCTCAAATACCTATGAATAAAGACTATGACATCCATATTTTGGTCGAGGTTACAAAAAATCCAAAAACCAAACAAACAAACAAATTGTCAAAGGGAGATAACTGTGTCTGATCTCTGCATCTCTCTGCTTTCCTAAGGCAGACAGTCGTTGTCGATCAGGCTTTAATCTAGCAAAGACAGATACACAAGGAAAATATATCTAAATTCTCCGTGTGATTTGTGCCTGTTATTGCAAATAGGTACTTGATGCCATAATAATTTTACATTATCAGAACAGATCATGTCTTTGGCCAGCCTGTGCTCATTACTGTTAACACAAAAATCAATGAAATGGGCCACTGTTTTTTTATTACAAAGGAATCTCAATTAATCTCTATTATATCATTAATCAGCAGGAATATCAAGCTTGTAAATTCATTGCCTTTACAAACAACAATCAGTCCAATTTTTTTACATTTTCGTCCTCTTTCCACATGCTGTTTTTAGACTTGTAGCTTAATATTTAATTGTAAACCTTAAAGAGTACACTTTAATGTTACAATGATTTGCCTTGCAGGTGATAAAAAGCAGTCAAACATGCAGTAAACGTTTTCATACACTGTACTTTGTACACTTATGTATAGGTAAACATCTGTTGAGAAATAACGGGAAATGTTAAATGACTTATACCTTGCATGTACTAATACGAAACAACATTATGTACCGATGCCTACTTATGTATTATGTAGTTATGCCCACTTATCTATATGTAATATCTTCAAAGAAAGAATGGTCAATGTAACACCAACTAAGGCCCTATGCCAAGCCTGTAAATACTATCTATTTATGTATGTATGGCTTGTATATGTGAATATCTATTCATAATTATAACGTCATGTAAACGTACTGGGAAATAAAAACGTGAAAAAAAAAAATAATAATAATAATAATCAGCATGAAGTGTCGCCATGGCAACAGATGCCTGGTTACCTGTATAACTGCGCTGAACCAGCATGTATTGCCGACATTCTTCAGTCCTACTGGCCATCCCTCGGTACGCTTGCGTTCATGGGGGTTGAGTGGGTCGACAAACCATACCTCCCCTCGTTTCCTCTTTGTCCCTGCCTTGCTCTCGGCCAGACTGGCTTCTAGAACCCTGCAGTACACCGACGGATGTAGTGAGTGAGGGGGGGGGGGGTCATGTTTCTTGGAACAGTATTTTAGGTTATAATATGATAATTTGATGCATGTCCTAAACATTTAGTGCTCTGATGATCATAATCATGGACACCATTGTTAGTAGGAATTTGGGAATCAAATCCATATCATAACGTGTATTGACGAATATAAGGAAAAATTTTCGTACCGAGAATTAGAGGAATTGGAAGAATATTTATTTCAGTCAGAAGGGAAAATTGCATGTCTGTATGTTCACACAAGTCATCGACAGATTCATTTCAATAAACTATTCGAGAAACAGATAAGTTTCTGAAAACAATATGCCTGCAACAATTCAAACAGAAACTAAAATAAAGACATGTAAAATTGAATGCAGAATTGACAAAAAGATCACAAGATATTGAATTTAGGGAGCTGGGTGAACTGATGTTATTATCAAGATACATGGGATTGAGGCGAGTACCTGCTAATATCTTGCTCCTCCCTGGTCACCTGACCTCCCAGAATGCCCTGGCTGTCCTGCAGACTGGCCGCTATAGCTTTCTGCAACTCATCACGGTCAGTGGTGGGCTCATTGGTCAGGTCAATAACTCCTGAAAACATACAGTTAACTGTAGAAAAAATCATCAACTAAGACTGACATTACTTTCTTGAGTTCTTAGTGTTTCCCCCCAAAAGGGCAGTGCGTCAGAATTTCTAAAAGGGGCAACCCTATTCCCAAACGGGCATGCAATGACATATTTCAAAGTATTATGTTTCGTTATCACAAACATTTTCTGAATATCTTTATAATTTTGGTGATTTGAAACAGGTGTTGTGTAACCAGTTGAAAGTTACTAGGTTATTCAGCGATAGTGATGTCATAATGCTTAACTTTCTGTTGTCCCCTCGATATTTTAAATTAACATTTTAACTCCATTCAAGCAGTTTTTGAACAAAAATGTCAACCAAACAAAACATTAGGTTTGTGGATAATTAGGTAGAATTCAATTTTGGTGTCACAAGGATTAGTATTATTTTTCAATTGAATATTTTTAATTGTATATTTTCATCTATAAAGAAGTCGTGACAGAGTTATCTCCCTTTCATTTTGTTTATGTTTTACTGTGCCCTGCTAAAAATGCCTGGGGAAAACACTGGTTCTGTTTCCCATTATTTTACCTCCATGTGGTGCTGAGGCTGCCAATAATTCTAGTTTCAATCACTGCTTACCATTGCTGTTGTGTGGTGTTGTGGTTGCATCTGCCCAGCTCACCCTCTTATCTACCTCTACTAATACTACCTGTTCTACTGCTTATCCTTGCTAGAGGCAGCTCCAGCTCCCTCTGTCTTCTGTGTGGTGCTAGGGATGGCCTCAACACCACCCACCCTCACTATCTACCTCTACTAATACTACCAATTGCTTATCCTTGCTGGAGGCAGCCCCAGCTCCCTCTGTCTTCTGTGCTGTGCTAGGGATGGCCTCACCACCACCCACCCTCACTATCTACCTCTACTAATACTACCAGTTGCTTATCCTTGCTAGAGGCAGCCCCAGCTCCCTCTGTCTTCTGTGTGGTGCTAGGGATGGCCTCACCACCACCCACCCTCACTATCTACCTCTACTAATACTACCAATTGCTTACCCTTGCTAGAGGCAGCCCCAGCTCCCTCTGTCTTCTGTGCTGTGCTAGGGATGGCCTCACCACCACCCACCCTCACTATCTACCTCTACTAATACTACCAGTTGCTTATCCTTGCTGGAGGCAGCCCCAGCTCCCTCTGTCTTCTGTGTGCTGCTAGGGATGGCCTCAACACCACCCACCCTCACTATCTACCTCTACTAATACTACCAGTTGCTTATCCTTGCTGGAGGCAGCCCCAGCTCCCTCTGTCTTCTGTGTGGTGCTAAGGATGGCCTCACCACCACCCACCCTCACTATCTACCTCTACTAATACTACCAGTTGCTTACCCTTGCTAGAGGCAGCCCCAGCTCCCTCTGTCTTCTGTGCTGTGCTAGGGATGGCCTCACCACCACCCACCCTCACTATCTACCTCTACTAATACTACCAGTTGCTTATCCTTGCTAGAGGCAGCCCCAGCTCCCTCTGTCTTCTGTGTGGTGCTAAGGATGGCCTCACCACCACCCACCCTCACTATCTACCTCTACTAATACTACCAATTGCTTACCCTTGCTAGTGGCAGCTCCAGCTCCCTCTGTCTTCTGTGCTGTGCTAGGGATGGCCTCACCACCACCCATCCTCACTATCTACCTCTACCAATACTACCAGTTGCTTATCCTTGCTGGAGGCAGCCCCAGCTCCCTCTGTCTTCTGTGTGGTGCTAGGGATGGCCTCACCACCACCCACCCTCACTATCTACCTCTACTAATACTACCAATTGCTTACCCTTGCTAGAGGCAGCTCCCTCTGTCTTCTGTGCTGTGCTAGGGATGGCCTCACCACCACCCACCCTCACTATCTACCTCTACCAATACTACCAGTTGCTTATCCTTGCTGGAGGCAGCCCCAGCTCCCTGTCTTCTGTGCTGTGCTAGGGATGGCCTCAACACCACCCACCTTCACTATCTACCTCTACTAATACTACCAGTTGCTTATCCTTGCTGGAGGCAGCCCCAGCTCCCTCTGTCTTCTGTGTGGTGCTAGGGATGGCCTCAACACCACCCACCCTCACTATCTACCTCTACTAATACTACCAGTTGCTTATCCTTGCTGGAGGCAGCCCCAGCTCCCTCTGTCTTCTGTGTGGTGCTAAGGATGGCCTCACCACCACCCACCCTCACTATCTACCTCTACTAATACTACCAGTTGCTTATCCTTGCTAGAGGCAGCCCCAGCTCCCTCTGTCTTCTGTGCTGTGCTAGGGATGGCCTCAACACCACCCACCCTTACTCTCTACCTCTACTAATACTACCAGTTGCTTATCCTTGCTAGAGGCAGCCCCAGCTCCCTCTGTCTTCTGTGTGGTGCTAAGGATGGCCTCACCACCACCCACCCTCACTATCTACCTCTACTAATACTACCAGTTGCTTACCCTTGCTAGAGTCAGCCCCAGCTCCCTCTGTCTTCTGTGCTGTGCTAAGGATGGCCTCACCACCACCCATCCTCACTATCTACCTCTACTAATACTACCAGTTGCTTATCCTTGCTAGTGGCAGCTCCAGCTCCCTCTGTCTTCTGTGCTGTGCTAGGGATGGCCTCACCACCACCCACCCTCACTATCTACCTCTACTAATACTACCAGTTGCTTACCCTTGCTAGTGGCAGCTCCAGCTCCCTCTGTCTTCTGTGTGCTGCTAGGGATGGCCTCAACACCACCCACCCTCACTATCTACCTCTACTAATACTACCAGTTGCTTATCCTTGCTGGAGGCAGCCCCAGCTCCCTCTGTCTTCTGTGTGGTGCTAGGGATGGCCTCAACACAACCCACCCTCACTATCTACCTCTACTAATACTACCAGTTGCTTACCCTTGCTAGAGGCAGCTCCAGCTCCAGCTTCAGCTCCCTCTGTCTTCTGTGTGGTGCTAGGGATGGCCTCACCACTGCTCACCCGAGTAGTCTGACTCTGGGTCACGTGCGGCAGAGCATCTGTAACATCCCTGTATGGCTTCACAACCTGTACAACAGAAAAGAAACACAGATTGAGGGGCAATTCAGGCTGAAAGAACAGTCAATGTTTAACATGTGCAATGACATTCTTATCATGGAAGGTACATCACTGCACTTGCAAGTAACCACAGGGCTCACAATGCCTGTAATGAAACCTCACTGTAATCTTATTCATTTCAAATTATTTAATAACCTAATGCAATCTTATAAAAATCAGATCCTAGTTCTAGATCCTAGATCAGACCACCTATTTCTACAGAGCTGGGACACAAGTTGCAGCTATGATAATATTCATTGGGAAAATTTCATTTCCGGTTCTAAACTTGTATTGAGATTTCCTACAGAGCAGTCTCTCACCATGTCACAAAAACCACGCTAACATTGCTTTGAGCAACATCTCAAAATCATGGGAATACCAAAATGAAATTAACACAATGGAGAATCATTTGTTTGTTTGTTGTTTAACGCTGCACTCAGCAATATTCCAGCTATATGGCATGGGTCTGTAAATAATCGAACTAGACTATCCAATGATGAACAGCATGAGCATCGATCTTCATAACTGGGATCTGATGACATGTGTTGACCATGTCAGTGAGCCTGACAACCTGATCCAATTCGTCGCGTCTCACGACAAGCATGGGTTGGTGAAGACCAATTCTAACTTGTATCTCCATGGGTCCAATGGAGGTGAGGTGAGGTGAAATTGGGTTTAACGTCGTATTTGAGAATATTTCGCTCATATGACGACGTGCATGCGCGTGTATGTGTATGTGCGGCTGCTTGTACTAGCCTAGACTTAAGCTGGTTTTATAGTGCTAGCCCACTGAGATACCATGCCGCAGTGAAGCATGAATACCCCACTCAGACACATTATACTGACTCCGAGCCGACCAGTCCTTGTTGTACCCATTAATGCCGAGCGCCAGGCAGGGACCAACAAGTACCATATTTTAATGTCTTTTGGTATGACGCGGTAGGGGATCGAACCCACGACCTTCCGCTCTCTCGGGTCCAATGGAGAATCAAATCAGACAACTAGATTGAGGACGGAATCACTGGGCTATCTTACAGCCCTTCACTCTGGCGGAACAAAGCCAGCACTCATATGTACCTGCTTCTTTGCCAGGCGTTCAGAATCATCTCCAAGAAGCATAGCAACAACATCTTCAACTTTGTAGGATCCTTCGTTGTTCTTGCATGCAGTGATCGCTTCCTGTATCACCTGAGGGTTGTCGATTCCCGTCACTTCCTTAATAGTGTCATATGTCTTGGCATCGTCGCCCCGCTGAAAGCGAACAGAGTCAGCCTTACCACATGTCTTACTGAAACAACTGCTAAAGCATCACATTCAGATTCTGGATCTAACATATCGTCAACATTATGAATACTCCAATGGCCTGAAAATAACAGTGGGCGAGGCAAACAAGCAAAGAGCACATCCAAACGATCAGGTCTGACCACTCAATTCTATTCAATCACCATGGATTTTCCTTACATATATCCTTGCCCCATGTGGTAGCCTAGTGGTTAAGAGTAATAAGAGTCAGACATTCCCTCATCAACGCCAAGACAGTCGCCTTTATCAATATTCCAGCAATATCACGGCTGGGGACACCAGAAATGGGCTTCACACATTGTACCCAAGGTCCCATGTGAGGAATCGAACCCAGGTCTCTGGCGTGACTCTTTAACCACTAGGCTACCCAAACGCCCCTAAAATTTATGAACAATATAGACTGCATGCATGAACACAACTATATGAATGAGTGAGTGAGGTTTGATGCCACTTTTATATATTCTAACATTATCATGGCAGAGGAAACAGAAAAAAGACAACAGGGCTTCAAACATTACATCCATGTTGTGAATCAAACCCGGTGTAACAGGCCAAACTTTCCCCCTAACCAAACCTTCACCGTCGAAAGTTTGGCCTGGAACAAACTTTCCCCGGAGAAACTTTAGCCTAGGCCAAACTTTTTCCCCCTAGGCCTTATCTTCCCCGGGGAAAGTTTGTCCTAGGCCAAGTTTGTCCTTGAATCAACTTTAAAGGCTACTTGTTTCCCATTCTTGTTCTTATATCAAAATGGGGAGATTCTGGCCTAGCTAGGCTATTTCTTCCCCAACCTTGTTTTCATGTTTATGTTCGTCTAAAAAGTCAGATACGAAAACAAGATATAGCTATTCACGTGAACACATTGAGAAGATATTCATATTGATGTCAAGTTCCATTAACAATTTACAGGTCATCTTTATCTTCATATGTAACATGTACATGGTTCCCATTTTGTTTCAATACCCTTCTATAACGTGAGATTAACAAGAAAAGCAAGCATAAAAGCAAAGATATTATATCATTACTATTGTTTTATATTATTATCATTTACTTATTTTTATATTTCAATAATTTACTTATCCCCACTTACTCAAATTTGTCAAAATAATTACTATATTCGAAACTGTACCTAAATACCCAGTTTTTACTTAGATGTCCGACCCGTGAAGACCTGGGGTAGAATAGGTCTTCAGCAACCCATGTGCTTGCCATAAAAGGCGACTATGCTTGTCGTAAGAGGCGACTAACGGGATCGGGTGGTCAGTTTCGCTGACTTGGTTGACCCATGTCATCGGTTCCCAATTGCGCAGATCGATGCTCGTGCTGTTGATCACTGGATTGTCTGGTCCAGACTCGATTATTTACAGACCGCCGCCATATAGCTGGAATATTGCTGAGTGCGGCGTAAAACTAAACTCACTCACTCACTCACTCAGATGTCCATATCCATTCAAAGTTTTATTCCCTCACTCATGGCCTTAAATATGGCATCCATGTCGGCAACATCAACTTAACAGTTGGAAGCAGATGTAAACATCAACACAACAACAACAACCCAATACAATATCTGTATCAAAAGCTGTATAATCTATCATTCCACTATATTGCCTTATTCTATATTCAAAAGACAAGGTTTGATAAGGGGTATACTTGGCCCATGGATATCTGAATCATATTTCATTCACCCAAAGTGATTATGGATTAGTAAACAAGTTTATGTGAATAATGTTCCATTACATTTATACATAAATACAACAAATATTGGATAATAAACAGCATGATAAGAGAGCAAGCAACCTGTGTATATTACATCCTATTTAGCCATCAAATGTGCGATTGAATGTTTACATCTTATGGTGGACATATGACAAACTAATGCAATGTGTCTTCATAGGAATGACGACAGGAGCAGGATGGATTTAGAGATATATGCCATTCAAACATGTATGCAATCAAATCACTACACCCAAGTCAGAGGCAAAAATTGACTAATTACCACAATATACCGATAAATCAAACCTACTGTTGGTTTATAAGAGCAAGGGTGGGAAGAAGTAGCCTCGGTTGGCCAGAATCTCCTCCTTTTGATATAAAGACAAGGGTGGGGAAGAAGTAGCCTAGGTAGGCCAGAATCTCCCCCTTTTGATATGAGAACAAGGGTGGGGAAGAAGTGGCCTAACTAGGCCAGAATCTCCCCACTTTTCATAGAAAACAGAACACAATATCCCAGTTTAAACAGGGGGGAAACTTTAGCCTAGCCCAAACTTTCCCCGGGGTAAGAATATCCTAGGACAAAACCTCCCCTGGGAAAGTTTGGCCTAGGCCAGAGTCTCCCCATGGCAAGTTTAGACCGGGCAAGAAATGGCCTGCTACACCGGATCTTTGGTGTGATGAGTGAGTGAGTTAATATTTAACGTCACATCGGCAATATCTCAGCCATATCGTGACGAATACAATTTAAATATAATACTAAAACAGGGCTCCAGATAATTGTTCAACATCAGGAGTACGTACTCCTTATTTTTTTAATGGAGGAGTACTGGAAAAACTTAGAGTACATTTAGAGTACTGAATGGAATATAATGGAGTACCAGTAATCTTGTGTTTCGTTTCATATATGCACCACAATATTGCTACTCAGTACTCTTGTGCAAACATTAAAACAAAACTTTTTCAGATAAATATGTCTGTAAATGATTCTAAGACCGTACATCATTGCTGTGGTGCATATCTGCTACGTTTTCTAAATTATTTCCTACCGTATCGTGCATATATTGTATCCGTACATACGCCGATACGGCCCTTATCTGGAGCCCTGACTAAAATGAAAACATTGTGAGAGTTAAACCTGTCGACGATGGACAGTAAAAATACTAGAGTATAACAGACATGAACATAAACCTAGCATGTAAAACTAAAACAGTGTAATTAAAGAAGACAATACAGCATGAAACACCGGCTATAGATCGCCAACAACTGAAGGTAGATCACCATGCTAGGAACCATTGAGACTTACTTTACTTTTGCTACCTGCATGAAGCCTAGCTGGATTTACATCATCCCTTCAGCAGCTGGCGATTGTAGGATAATTTAGCCAAAATTTAAAAGAACAAAAATACTACGTTTAAAAACTTGGTACGTGTGGTTTTGGGTGTGATAAGTGAATGCTTTAAACAATAAGCTGTCCTATGGACCCCATAGCAGGGGTGGAAATAACCCATTGCCCGATGCCCGAGTCCAGTGTTTTTTTCCTGTCGGGCAAGGAAATTTGTATATCACAATGTACCGGTGTCCACTTGATATTCCAATGTTAATTATGTTGTCTATTTAAGAAATCAACAAGAAAACGGCCGGTATAGTGGAAAAATTACCAGGGCAAGTGATTTTACATGTGCCACTGTACCGGAGTACACTAGCAATTTTAAAGTTATTTCCACCCCTGCATAGTTATACATGAGAAATCATTCATTCAATGTTCAGGATGGAATTGGTAGAAATTGCTATGAGCAAATGAAAACAATTAGCATCCTTTGTTCCGCCCTTCACCCAAGTCCTATACTAAGATCCTGTGATGTATTGCCCAGTGTAGTATTCCTTTTATGACAAACAGCATACTGCCATGCCCAATCCTTACAAAGCTATCTTAACACTAAAATGTTCTCAAGTCCCATAATTTGTGGAGACTTTTGACTACAGCTGGCTAAGATCGTTATGTGGAATGGCCCATGTGACCACAATGCCACAATTCCTTCATAGTACGCTACTCACTGTGTAGTTTGAATGCTTTCCAAATTTTACTGATGGTAAACCAAATATCTACACCATCACATGGTGACTGAATAGAGACAAAAAAGATGAAGACATTTCCATGCCTGCATCAGTGAGTGAGTGAGTTTGGTTTTACGCCGCTTTTTGCAATATTCCATCAATATCATGGCAGAAATGGGCTTCACACATTGTACCCATGTGGGGAATCAAACTTGGGCCTTTGGTGTGGAGAGCGAATGCTTTACCCCTAGGATACCCCACTGCCCCATGCCTGCATTAACTTCTGATAGGACATTCCTTTATGTTTACACTTTACCAAACTAAAAAATCATCTTTACAAATATCATTTGGATGACTAGCAGTGAGGGTCCCAGAAAACATAGAAATCTGTAACTCAAAAATATATTCACACTATAATTCTATATCACTTTTCCAAAATGAAAACATTTTTTTCCATAACTCTGTCTGCCAAATAGAGTATCACCTAGTTGAACAATGGGGAGACTTCTTTATTATTAAGATGAACGTTTTGGTGTAGCTACTGACACTGTTATCAAATTGCCCAAAACTCTACCAACAACCAGCAATTAACCAACAATACACATGTGACTGTTTGATAGCAGTAACCATGATAAATATTGTTGAGCTGGCAGACATGAAGACTTTTCATTCAAAAGGGGCACAAATTGATGTAAACAATGTTTGCTACCACATTTGTCCATCAAAGAGTGAAAAGTGCAACTTTATCAATCACATGTATGTTATGACAATTATGAATGCCAACTAAACTCATGATAATTTCTGCTACTAATTAATTGAAAATTCAGCAATATTTCCTTCAACACTGAAATTGAAGACACTATGGATGGAAAGAGTGAATTTGAAAAAACTACAGCGTTTCACAAAACTCATTCTTGAATATGCACATTCTGTTGTTTGGCCAGCAGAGTGTAATATTATTAATACCATTAGAACATTAACAACCTCATATTTTTTTACTTAAATTATACACCTGTATTTTTCTACTATGAATACTAGTATATACCCATGAAGATCCAGGTTAGAATTGATCTCCAGTAACCCATGCTTGTCGAAAGAGGCGACTAACGGGATTGGGTGGTCAGGCTCGCTGACTTTGTTGACACGTTATCATAAACTAATTATGTAGATCGATGCTCATGCTGTTGATCACTGGATTGTCTGGTCCAGACTCGATAGCTGGAATATTGCTGAGTGTGGCATAAAACAAAACTCGCTCACTCACTTTGAACATATAAATTTTGATAAATGTATGTCTAAACACTCATTGTCAAAGGCCTGCATATTGACTTCAGCATTGCAACACAATAAACAGTTAATTATGGTAAAAACACATCTGCTAAACATCCCTTACCCAACTGGGGAACATTTACTTAAGGCCTAAAAAAAAATGTTGTGGTTCCGATTAGCTGACCGACCCCTGAATTCTGGTGCTGACCCTATTCTTTTTAAGCAGTATAAATAAAATAAGCGTTCAGATACCATTGTTTTTCCCCGGTACCGACGAACATCGGTCATTCTGATAGAGAAAGTTGACATAATGGTGGCAAGCTTGATTAAAGAAATAATTACATGTTGATAAATGTGTTATTAGTTTGTACTTTACGTATTAAAAAAAATGTGAAAAATATTCCTACCTACACTAAACTTTAAAGAGCTGTAATCAGAACCACAAATTTCTTTTTTATTTTGCCTAAGGTGCTCACCAGTAAGGGTTTTATTAGACACAATGATTGTACAGCACGCACAAATGTATAGAAAGGACCAAGAAAGCAATATGTACTACATCCTAATGGAGCCAAATTCTCAGCAAGAAACAAAGTTTGTGCAATTAAATCAAGGATTAAATATTAGAGTAGGGTACTATACACCTTTTCTTCACTTTACAGGACCCTCCTATTTCCTGCGAGAACCCTTAAGATTAGCACCTGGACATCCTCTGAAACCTTGTTTTGCAGGTCCTTGAAACACCTAGACTAAACATGTGTCCTGTCCCTTGGACACTGTCATAATGCATCTCAAAAGTTTATTAAAAAAGGAATTAATTAGTAAAAAGTAATTGTACATCCTCCATTTCCTCTATTCCACTGTCACCATGTCTGCAAACCTGTACCAATACCGATGATATTGTACCAATTATCTGTACTGGCTGCCAAACAGTTATCGTCATATTTTAGGGGTATTTACAAAATTACTCCACCATTTGTTTAATTAATGAAACAGAATTAAATATGATACTTAATTTGCTATTCGCTAAAGTGTCCAGCCTGCTCACTTCCACCGATATTGTTTTTATATAACACGGCAGAAGGGAATCATGGCAGTACAAATAGATGTTTTCTCACAACTAACTGTAAAAGTTATCGCCATTTCAGAATTTCTGACCCATAAAGGTCCGGGTTAGAATGAACCTTCAGTAATCCATGCCTGTCGTAAGAGGCGACTAACAGGATCAGGTGGTCAGGCTCGCTGGTTTGGTTGGCAGATGTCATCGGTTCCAAAATGCGCAGATTGATGCTCATGCTGTTGATCACTTGATTGTCTGGTCCAGACTCGATTATTTACAGACCGCCGCCATATAGCTGGAATATTGCTGAGTGCAGCGTCAAACTAAACTCACTCAGAATTTCCCATGCCATCCATGAAACAATATTATATATTAATATCATACAGTAAACTTACTAACCTCACATAATTGATTGTGTGACTATTTGAGTGTTTATTTTACAGTAGATTGAAATTAAACAATGACTTATAAACTCAAACTTGATATTATACAGATCGTGTGACATCCCCCCCAAATAAGTTAAAAAACATTGTAGGGTTCATAACCTTATCTTTAAGTTTTCTCTTATGTTACTTACTGTGAAGAATTTTCTCTTGATGTCCTATATTGTTGTCGAATATTCAGGGAAAAAATACCGGAATTGAAAATGACAAGAACTGCGCACGTATGATACTGATGTATTGGCGATAACTGTTACACGGCGATAACTGTTCACTAGCCAGTACGGATAACGGTAATAAAATTTGAATTACTCAAAATCTTGAAGCTAGTACAGAAATCCTTCCTTCAGTTTACCATACATTTATTGTGACAGGAATCATAAGTATTGAGATCTGACTAAAACACTTGGCTAGGTTAGTTTTTAGCCCGATAAACTGTTCCTGGGGAGTCATATTTGGTCCTCATATTTTGACAGGTAGATGGACTGGACTTATATGGACAAGAGTATGATCATTTGACATTGGGACGTTCAGGACTGATTTGCTGATGTAATTAACACGAAATGTACCTGAGAAATGGACATTTTTACATTTCTATGATTAAATGGGGTGGAGGAATGCAATATATTTCGAAAGGTAAAGAAAGTGAAGAATAAACACATATTTCCTGAGCCTCGACCGTCACCTACGGAAAATTAACTTCGTATCATTACAAAATGAGGATGACCACAATGCAAATTGTCCATGATAACAGTGTGTCCATACATGAATGGGATCAACGGAGTTGTTTATTAATTTAGTCCAGATTTCTGCAATCGAAAGGGTGGAATCTCCACTTCGCAGTTGAACAGCTCGGAGACACATCATGGCGAGCATGCGCTCCCATGCAGTTTTCCCAAATACGACAAGTGCACCAAACCTTGCATTCGTAACATTTCCTAAGCAAAGTTTACATACGACCCATGCCATTTTAACAATGGACGTGAAATTTGCATAAAAAAATACCTGAGTAACACGATGAGAAAGAGAAGACTGTTCCACAGTCATGTCGGCCTTGGAAATAAAATGGCGTCGGCCATTCCAAGAAAGGAAACTCAAGGCGAATACATGATTATGTGTCGGCATTCGTCGCTGTTGGTGGATGTATCACCACCTTATACAAGATACCATTTGCAATGTTATTCGGTGATGTAACTGTTTCTGTCCCAATGAACGTGTTTAGTAATAATCTCGTGGAACTCCTTTATTCGCTGACTAACGTTGGAGTGAATCGTTTAGACAGAACAGCCTGGAATTCCCCTTTCTTATTCGCAAATAGGATATTTCTGATTGGTTGTTTCCAAACCTATGGAGAAGAGGAATCCCCCATTAAACAAAAGGAATAACTAAGGATAGTGCATGCAAATAGCAAAATTGCACTTAGTTCTCTGTTGTCATTATCTGTTAATAGGGCATAAATATACACCTTCCTTGGTATCAACATCATCGAAGATCATCGCGATCACATTAGTTAATCCAACTGACCAATCAAAATTGCTCTAACATACCAACCACGGATATGAGTTTATAAACATGGCACCGGGAACACCACCTGTGTTGAAAGCCTGACGTGGATACAGACACGCTGGTCAAATCTTCAGCTGATAGAATTTTTGTTGCTTACATTCACACCAACACACCTTATTCAAGATGTCCTTTTTCGCAGATTCATGTATCATGTTATTTTCTCAGGTAAATATGGATAGATAAAATCTGGTCAACGTCGATACGTCTCTCTCTGCTGACTCTTGTCTCTGTCTCCCATCCCAACAAATGTCCTACTTTGCCTACTTACTTGCAAAGAAATAGCCAAGGTTTTCCCCCTCTTAAGAAACGTCACCGATGAATACAATATTGCTGGCTGACAAAAGTAGTTTTGGGTACTAATTCAATGAAGTTCGAAGTACTTAACAGAATCTGACGAAATACATTTTCACGTTTGTATTGAGTGAAATTATCCCAATTAAAAAGAGGCAAGGTTTACAATGCTTGGGGAAAGGATAATATGGCTGGCCCTTTCAATCTATGTGACTGACAAATTGGATGTCAGGAATTAAGATAGCGGGTATCAGGGTAGGGTAAATAGGGGGGTGGGTTACCCAGGACGGTGGACCAGTCCCAGCCTTACAAGTAATCACTGCTTTCTTCTGTGTCCTTTGAGTGTTTTGAGGAACAGAGCACAGCATGAGAACAAAACCAGCTAACAAATCAGTAGCAGTTCAGCGGACTAACATACTGATCCAGAAAATGCATCCCACTGGACTATTGAGCCATTCCATAAGAGATGAATATACCGGTTCAGGAGACAACTGCCTGTATACTTTAATAATGAGAACCATAGTACATTGTCCTCAAAGTTTAAGAGGGGTGGTAGGGTGGCCTAAAGTGACGCTCGTCAGGCTGAAGACTCAGGTTTGATTCCCTGCATGGGTACAATGTGTGAAGCCCATTTCTGGTGTCCCCTGCCTGGATATTGCTGGAATATTGCTAAAAACAGTGTAAAAACCATGCTCACTCATTCACTCACTTAAAGTTTAAGTAAGGATAAGATATAAGAATGAACAACTGTTTTATCTCCAAATCCCCAAAGTTGATCACATTGTTTTGATTGTTTGTTCTGATAATATGAATTGTGTTTTCAGATTCTCTTCTTTGGAGGAGGATGGGTATTTTTCCTCAAGAAACTCTTCAGGGACTATGAGGTACCTAGTTTGGATTCTATTGGACAAGACCGCCTCCGTGGTGTAGTGGTTAGAGGGTCCGCCCGGAGAGCGGAAGGTCGAGGGTTCGACCACGTCATACCAAAAGACGTTAAAATATGGTACTTTTTGGTCCCTGTCTGGCTCTCGGCATTAATGGGTACAACAAGGACTGGTCGGCTTGGAGTCAGTATAATGTGTCTGAGTGGGGTATTTATGCTTCACTGCGGCATGGTATCTCAGTGGGCTAGCACTATGAAACCAGCTTAAGTCTGGGCTAGTACAAGCAGCCGCACATACAGATACACACGCATGCACGTCGTCATATGAGCGAAATATTCTCAAGCACGACGTAAAACCCAATTTCACCTCACCTCTATTGGACAAAGATGTGTGTAATACTGTGCCACTCTCCACTTTGCTGAATCACTGAGTTGTGTGTCAGTGGAGGGATAGCCAAGTTTTTAAAGCAGCTCAACGCCAAAGGCCCGGGTTTCGATTCTCCACATGGGTACAATGTGTGAAGCCCATTTCTGGTGTCCCCTGCCGTGATATTGCTGGAATATTGCTAAGAGGCATAAAACCATACTACTCTCTTCTGTCAACATTTGATTAATTGGAAAATGTCGATGGAAATCGTGCAAGATCCTATTCCATGGGAATGGATCCATGGGTTAGTGTAGGTGCACATAAAAAAAAAGGCAAGATCTACCAATGAACAGGATGGTAACCAACTTGGCATCGACATTATGATCATGATGGTCTTATTTACAGACAAGGTGCCATAAGGTGCATGACACAAATATATCAGGTGCAAAATACAAAAATGTATTGCAATGATGTCCAAATTAGCATAAATTAAGACACAATTTCCTTTTTATTTGTTAAAAGTCTTGAACTTTCTTGCTGTCTGTTATTTTCAGGGAAAGAAAAAAATGTTTTGGTAACTGATCACTTGGCACAATTGAGACATGCAACCATTCTAAAAAGTCACAATAGTCTAAAGTGTCACTGCTTGTTTCCAATCTGATTCAACTGAACAACAATGTTGATCCAGGTGGTTATTTCATTTTTGTACCCCCAATTTAAAACAAATTGTAATTGCACCATCTTTTAGAATTATTTAGAGACTGTTCATAATTTATAGCTTAGGGGTGTGGGGGTGATGATGATTTTTATGGAGAAGCATGTACAAAGTCAATGACCCCCCTTCCCATAATTTATAAGTATAATTTTAAACATATTTTTATGTACAAAATTGCTGGTGTCCTCTGCTATCATGTTGATGGAATATTGCTTAAAGCAGAGTAAAACCGCATTCACTCACTCATGCACCCCCATAGTGTGGTGGTTTCTATAGTGGCCTTAAACAACAAACACACACATATTCTATAAATAACAAATCCTTCATTAACTGGATTATCTGGTTCAGACTTGATTATTTACAGACTAGTTTGTTATGATGTCTTTCAGTGGCAATTAGAAGTTGTACATAGATGTCCAAGATATTTTTATGGATTAAACTTCTTTTTTGTTTCTCTCACAACGTTTCGGGACCATTTCAGTTCCCTTCATCAGGTTCACCTGATGAAGGGACCTGAATGGTCCCAAAACGTCGATCAGGTTCACCTGATGAAGGGACCTGAATGGTCCCGAAACGTCGATCAGGTTCCCTGATGAAGGGACCTGGAATGGTCCCGAAACGTTGATCAGGTTCACCTGATGAAGGGACCTGAATGGTCCCAAAACGTCGATCAGGTTCACCTGATGAAGGGACCTGAATGGTCCCAAAACGTCGATCAGGTTCACCTGATGAAGGGACCTGAATGGTCCCGAAACGTCGATCAGGTTCACCTGATGAAGGGACCTGGAATGGTCCTCTGAAAGGGACCTGAATCAGGTTCACCTGATGAAGGGACCTGAATGGTCCCGAAACATCGATCAGGTTCACCTGATGAAGGGACCTGAATGGTCCCGAAACTTTGATCAGGTTCACCTGATGAAGGGACCTGAATGGTCCCGAAACGTCGATCAGGTTCACCAGATGAAGGGACCTGGAATGGTCCCGGTACGTCTTGAGGGAAATAAAAAAGAAATTTAATCCATAATAATATCTTGGACATAGTTTGTTATGGCTGGAATATTTTTGAGTCAGTATAACAGGAAATATCTGAGTGCGGAAGATCGGTAATTTGGATCCTGTCATGTAAAATTAACGTTAAGAGATTGTACTTGTTGGTAGGCTACCTGGCACTTTTCGTGACACAAGCACTGGTCAGGCTAGACTCTGTAAATGTAGTGTGACCTGCTGTACTGTAGTAGTCCAGGGTCCTCATCCGCAAGGCGATCGTAGATCTAAGATGATCGTAACTCCCATACTTTAACGTAGACTTACGACAGTTTTAGCACTACGATCGGTTTGTAGAACAGGGCCCTCATCTGCAAGGCGATCATAGAGCTAAGATGATCGTAACTCCCATACTTTAACATAGACTTACGACAGTTTTAGCACTACGATCAGTTTGTTGAACAGGGCCCTCATCCGCAAGGCGATCGTAGAGCTAAGATGATCATATCTCCCATACTTTAACATAGACTTACGACAGTTTTAGCACTACGATCAGTTTGTTGAACAGGGCCCTCATCCATGAGCGATGATCATATCTCCCATACTAAGATGATTCAAGTAACTCCATTTGTTGAAAACATAGACACAGTTTATCGTGAATCCCATACTTCTTATAGACTTCGACAGGTTTTAGCACTAGGATCGGTTTGTAGAACAGGGCTCTCATCCACAAAGTATTTGTAGTCTTATGAGCTGTTGTAACTCTGTAGTCTATCATAGGATTATGGATGACGTAGCGCTATGAATACTTTGTGGATCAGGGGTGGTAGGGTAGTCTGGTGGTTAAGACGTTCTCTTGTCTCACCGAAGACCAAGGTTTGATTCCCCACATGGGCACAATTGTGAAGCCCATTTCTGGTGTTCCCCCGCCATGATATTGCATGATATTGGAATATTGTTATAATCGGCATAAAACTAAACTCACTCACTCACTTTGTGGACATGCGCCAGATTGTAACATACAGCCACATACACAACACAGAGCATACTCCTGCTTTGTTTTTTTTTGTAATAGTGCAAATATTAGTTGGAATTCTGCTTTATAATGCTACTTCTTGTGACATGACTGTCATGTCTCCTCAATAATGACGTTTGCAGGTGCATCACTCCATTGTTCTGCTGGTGTTCTCTGTGACCTTTGCCCTCTCCTGCACCATGTTTGAACTGATCATCTTTGAAATCTTGGGAGTTTTAGATTCAAGGTAAGTGCTATTTTGCACTTTTGTTAAATACTTGAAACATTAGATTCAAGGTGGATGGTGATGTTGAGTTTGTTAGATTCATTGTAAGTGCTCAAGTTGAGGAGGTTAAATACTTGAAGTATTAGATTCATTGTAAGTGCTCAAGTTGAGGATGTTAAATACTTGAAGTATTAGATTCATTGTAAGTGCTCAAGTTGAGGATGTTAAATACTTGAAGTATTAGATTCATTGTAAGTGCTCAAGTTGAGGATGTCAAATACTTGAAGTATTAGATTCATTGTAAGTGCTCAAGTTGAGGATGTTAAAACTCACTTGAAGTATTAGATTCATTGTAAGTGCTCAAGTTGAGGATGTTAAATACTTGAAGTATTAGATTCATTGTAAGTGCTCAAGTTGAGGATGTTAAATACTTGAAGCATTAGATTCATTGTAAGTGCTCAAGTTGAGGATGTTAACTACTTGAAGTATTAGATTCATTGTAAGTGCTCAAGTTGAGGATGTTAAATACTTGAAGCATTAGATCCATTGTAAGTGCTCAAGTTGAGGATGTTAAATACTTGAAGCATTAGATTCATTGTAAGTGCTCAAGTTGAGGATGTTAAATACTTGAAGCATTAGATTCATTGTAAGTGCTCAAGTTGAGGATGTTAAATACTTGAAGCATTAGATTCATTGTAAGTGCTCAAGTTGAGGATGTTAAATACTTGAAGTATTAGATTCATTGTAAGTGCTCAAGTTGAGGATGTTAAATACTTGAAGTATTAGATTCATTGTAAGTGCTCAAGTTGAGGATGTTAAATACTTGAAGTATTAGATTCATTGTAAGTGCTCAAGTTGAGGATGTCAAATACTTGAAGTATTAGATTCATTGTAAGTGCTCAAGTTGAGGATGTTAAATACTTTGAAGTATTAGATTCATTGTAAGTGCTCAAGTTGAGGATGTTAAATACTTGAAGTATTAGATTCATTGTAAGTGCTCAAGTTGAGGATGTCAAATACTTGAAGTATTAGATTCATTGTAAGTGCTCAAGTTGAGGATGTTAAATACTTGAAGTATTAGATTCATTGTAAGTGCTCAAGTTGAGGATGTTAACTACTTGAAGTATTAGATTCATTGTAAGTGCTCTCAAGTTGAGGATGTTAAATACTTGAAGTATTAGATTCATTGTAAGTGCTCAAGTTGAGGATGTTAACTACTTGAAGCATTAGATTCATTGTAAGTGCTCAAGTTGAGGATGTTAAATACTTGAAGTATTAGATTCATTGTAAGTGCTCAAGTTGAGGATGTTAAATACTTGAAGTATTAGATTCATTGTAAGTGCTCAAGTTGAGGAGGGATGTTAAATACTTGAAGCATTAGATTCATTGTAAGTGCTCAAGTTGAGGATGTTAAATACTTGAAGCATTAGATTCATTGTAAGTGCTCAAGTTGAGGATGTTAAATACTTGAAGCATTAGATTCATTGTAAGCGCTCAAGTTGAGGATGTTAAATACTTGAAGCATTAGATTCATTGTAAGTGCTCAAGCATTAGAGGATGTTAAATACTTGAAGTATTAGATTCATTGTAAGTGCTCAAGTTGAGGATGTTAAATACTTGAAGCATTAGATTCATTGTAAGTGCTCAAGTTGAGGATGTTAAATACTTGAAGCATTAGATTCATTGTAAGTGCTCAAGTTGAGGATGTTAACTACTTGAAGCATTAGATTCATTGTAAGTGCTCAAGTTGAGGATGTTAAATACTTGAAGCATTAGATTCATTGTAAGTGCTCAAGTTGAGGATGTTAAATACTTGAAGCATTAGATTCATTGTAAGTGCTCAAGTTGAGGATGTTAACTACTTGAAGTATTAGATTCATTGTATTAGTGCTCAAGTTGAGGATGTTAACTACTTGAAGTATTAGATTCATTGTAAGTGCTCAAGTTGAGGATGTTAAATACTTGAAGCATTAGATTCATTGTAAGTGCTCAAGTTGAGGATGTTAAATACTTGAAGTATTAGATTCATTGTAAGTGCTCAAGTTGAGGATGTTAAATACTTGAAGCATTAGATTCATTGTAAGTGCTCAAGTTGAGGATGTTAAATACTTGAAGTATTAGATTCATTGTAAGTGCTCAAGTTGAGGATGTCAAATACTTGAAGTATTAGATTCATTGTACATGCTCAAGTTGAGGATGTTAACTACTTGAAGTATTAGATTCATTGTAAGTGCTCAAGTTGAGGATGTTAAATACTTGAAGTATTAGATTCATTGTAATGTGCTCAAGTTGAGGATGTCAAATACTTGAAGTATTAGATTCATTGTAAGTGCTCAAGTTGAGGATGTCAAATACTTGAAGTATTAGATTCATTGTAAGTGCTCAAGTTGAGGATGTTAAATACTTGAAGTATTAGATTCATTGTAAGTGCTCAAGTTGAGGATGTTAAATACTTGAAGTATTAGATTCATTGTAAGTGCTCAAGTTGAGGATGTGAAATACTTGAAGTATTAGATTCATTGTAAGTGCTCAAGTTGAGGATGTTAACTACTTGAAGTATTAGATTCATTGTAAGTGCTCAAGTTGAGGATGTTAAATACTTGAAGTATTAGATTCATTGTAAGTGCTCAAGTTGAGGATGTTAAATACTTGAAGTATTAGATTCATTGTAAGTGCTCAAGTTGAGGATGTCAAATACTTGAAGTATTAGATTCATTGTAAGTGCTCAAGTTGAGGATGTTAACTATTTGAAGTATTAGATTCATTGTAAGTGCTCAAGTTGAGGATGTTAAATACTTGAAGTATTAGATTCATTGTAAGTGCTCAAGTTGAGGATGTCAAATACTTGAAGTATTAGATTCATTGTAAGTGCTCAAGTTGAGGATGTTAAATACTTGAAGTATTAGATTCATTGTAAGTGCTCAAGTTGAGGATGTTAACTACTTGAAGTATTAGATTCATTGTAAGTGCTCAAGTTGAGGATGTTAAATACTTGAAGTATTAGATTCATTGTAAGTGCTCAAGTTGAGGATGTTAAATACTTGAAGCATTAGATTCATTGTAAGTGCTCAAGTTGAGGATGTTAACTACTTGAAGTATTAGATTCATTGTAAGTGCTCAAGTTGAGGATGTTAAATACTTGAAGTATTAGATTCATTGTAAGTGCTCAAGTTGAGGAGGTTAAATACTTGAAGCATTAGATTCATTGTAAGTGCTCAAGTTGAGGATGTTAAATACTTGAAGCATTAGATTCATTGTAAGTGCTCAAGTTGAGGATGTTAAATACTTGAAGTATTAGATTCATTGTAAGTGCTCAAGTTGAGGATGTTAAATACTTGAAGTATTAGATTCATTGTAAGTGCTCAAGTTGAGGATGTTAAATACTTGAAGTATTAGATTCATTGTAAGTGCTCAAGTTGAGGATGTTAAATACTTGAAGTATTAGATTCATTGTAAGTGCTCAAGTTGAGGATGTCAAATACTTGAAGTATTAGATTCATTGTACGTGCTCAAGTTGAGGATGTTAACTATTTGAAGTATTAGATTCATTGTAAGTGCTCAAGTTGAGGATGTTAAATACTTGAAGCATTAGATTCATTGTAAGTGCTCAAGTTGAGGATGTTAACTACTTGAAGCATTAGATTCATTGTAAGTGCTCAAGTTGAGGATGTTAACTACTTGAAGTATTAGATTCATTGTAAGTGCTCAAGTTGAGGATGTTAACTACTTGAAGTATTAGATTCATTGTAAGTGCTCAAGTTGAGGATGTTAAATACTTGAAGTATTAGATTCATTGTAAGTGCTCAAGTTGAGGATGTTAAATACTTGAAGTATTAGATTCATTGTAAGTGCTCAAGTTGAGGATGTTAAATACTTGAAGTATTAGATTCATTGTAAGTGCTCAAGTTGAGGATGTTAAATACTTGAAGTATTAGATTCATTGTAGGTGCTCAAGTTGAGGATGTCAAATACTTGAAGTATTAGATTCATTGTACGTGCTCAAGTTGAGGATGTTAAATACTTGAAGTATTAGATTCATTGTAAGTGCTCAAGTTGAGGATGTTAAATACTTGAAGTATTAGATTCATTGTAAGTGCTCAAGTTGAGGATGTCAAATACTTGAAGTATTAGATTCATTGTAAGTGCTCAAGTTGAGGATGTCAAATACTTGAAGTATTAGATTCATTGTAAGTGCTCAAGTTGAGGATGTTAACTACTTGAAGTATTAGATTCATTGTAAGTGCTCAAGTTGAGGATGTTAAATACTTGAAGTATTAGATTCATTGTAAGTGCTCAAGTTGAGGATGTGAAATACTTGAAGTATTAGATTCATTGTAAGTGCTCAAGTTGAGGATGTTAACTACTTGAAGTATTAGATTCATTGTAAGTGCTCAAGTTGAGGATGTTAAATACTTGAAGTATTAGATTCATTGTAAGTGCTCAAGTTGAGGATGTTAACTACTTGAAGCATTAGATTCATTGTAAGTGCTCAAGTTGAGGATGTTAAATACTTGAAGTATTAGATTCATTGTAAGTGCTCAAGTTGAGGATGTTAAATACTTGAAGTATTAGATTCATTGTAAGCACTCAAGTTGAGGATGTTAAATACTTGAAGTATTAGATTCATTGTAAGTGCTCAAGTTGAGGATGTTAAATACTTGAAGCATTAGATTCATTGTAAGTGCTCAAGTTGAGGATGTTAAATACTTGAAGTATTAGATTCATTGTAAGTGCTCAAGTTGAGGATGTTAAATACTTGAAGTATTAGATTCATTGTAAGTGCTCAAGTTGAGGATGTTAAATACTTGAAGTATTAGATTCATTGTAAGTGCTCAAGTTGAGGATGTTAAATACTTGAAGTATTAGATTCATTGTAAGTGCTCAAGTTGAGGATGTCAAATACTTGAAGTATTAGATTCATTGTACTTGCTCTCAAGTTGAGGATGTTAACTATTTGAAGTATTAGATTCATTGTAAGTGCTCAAGTTGAGGATGTTAAATACTTGAAGCATTAGATTCAT